TCAATCGAACCCCAGACAAACACCTACTGTATCAATGTGAGAGATAGTAAGAACTGCCAATGCTGGAGTCAGAGATAACACAGTGTGGAGTTGGAGGAACACAGCAGGCCTGGCAGCATCAGAGGAGCAGGAAAGCTGATGTTTTGGGTCGGGACCCTTCTTCAGAAATTTCAATTTTTCTGCTCCTCTGATGCTGCCTAGCCTGCTGTGTTCCTCCAGCTCCACACTGTGTTATCTCTGCATCAATCTGAGTTTCTTTTCCCACTTTCTACCAATATTTTGCCATATTTAGAGGACTTTTTTCCTGTGAGTCTATGTTTCCAGGTGTTTTATTCTGATGATTTAACTGATTCATCTGACCCTTTCAGGTTAGAACAAAGATTTTTATTGACTTTGGGCTGGTTCCAGAGACCAGTGTCTAATCCAGCACTAGATTTACCTTTCCTAACATGCTGACACTTGTGAAGAATTTCTCCTATTGATTAAAGTTGTGAAAGCAATTTTTTGACAGTAAAAAGAACTATGATCTTACAAAGGAAGTAAGATAATTTTCAGACAGGCCAATCATTCTGAAGATACCTACTCAGAATAACCCATATGACATATTAAGGCACATAAATTCAAACTGCAAACTTCTGTCTTTTGGACGTTAATTTAACAGGTGCCACTTTCCCTCTGATACCTTGCCTAAGTGGGCATTATTGCTGAGACGAGTTTCATGTGCTGTGGTTCCATTTCCATGCACTGGTCAAGAAATTTTAACTTTAGCCAATGATGCAAATGTTGAATTTGTCAGGCATTATTTACTAAGCCTGTCTTCATTTTCTCTAAAGTCAATGGAGGAGAACATTAGGAGGCACATGATGGCAACCAATTTAAGAATGCCAATTTAAGAATGCCAATTTTATACTGTTTCTCAATGTTAAAATTACCATCTAAATTTTCGTGAAATATTTTGAAATTAGCTAAACAAAACAACAAAGTTCTGACAGCATTGCAAACTGTGAAGTGATTACGCTCATCAATTTAAAAAGAGTTGCTGACATTGCGCTAAATTTTACAAGGAGGAACTAACAGACTCAACAGAATGAGGTGCCCGGCAATATTTAAACAAAACCTAATGATAAATTCATGCTGTTCATAAGAAATGTCCAAAGCAAAAATAGTCAGGCTCCATTTTCCTCAAGAAGACATCAGTTATTTATATATCAGTGAACCTTGGAAATATTCTTGTTCTCAGACATGTTGCAATGTCTTCAATACAGCAATGATCCATTTATCCCTGCCAGAGATCTGCTAGGTGTATACAGGGATGCTTGACAGAATTTATCAACATTCTACATTAAGGTGTTTTAGACCCCTTTTAAAGAAATTGATACAACAAGACATGGAAGTATGTTCCATGATAAAAAAAGAAACATTTTAATCAACTTCTTATTACACATCTCTGGGAAAGGTAGGATTTAACACAGTCCTTCAACACCCTGGGATTGAGGCACAACCATTGTACAATGATTCCTTGGTAAATGTTTGGTAAAGTGCATAAGGCTACTTTATGAAGATGTGGTTTGAAATGGTATATTGGATGTATAAATTAGAACAAAAATACAACAAATTGAATTAAATAATGAGGTTAGTTTGCATAGACCGGTCTTCTACTGTTTGCATGAACAATAATGGTTTAGTTAACAAAAAGCCAAGAGGCCAATCAAAGCTCACAAAGTGAAACTTATCAAGATTTAAATCAAAATATTGTTATCAGGAGCAATGATGTATCCCCAGCCCCTCTGGAGCCCACCAGTCTCTAAAGGTCTGAATTGTCCCAGTGGGTTCCACATGCCCCCTCTACACAGACACCCAAACATGAACATAACTAGTCCAGTCTTTGTCCTGTTGTGTAGCAAGACTAAGAAGTAATCTACTTCAGCACTTTCAGACAATACCTTATATAGAAAGATACCATTCCTTCTGGTGGGGTTCTTCTGGAAAAAGGAGAAGTAGGTTTAAAATCAAATCTAAGCCTTCCAGGAACGCAAAAGGTAATGGAAATCTGGAACTCTGTCTCTCAAAAGGCAGCTGTTGCTGGGGGTCAGTTGAAAATATGAAAACTAAGACCGATTGATTTTTGTTAAGCAATGGTATTAAGTGCTAGATGTTGGGGTAGATGAACTTAAGATACAGACCAGCGATGATCTATTTGAGTGGTAGAATAGACTTGAGGGGCTGAATGGCCTGAGTCTGTGATCATATTGTATTTGCTTTACTGACCTAAATGAACACAGATAATGTTGTGGAAATATGTGAACAGCAGCATAATGACTTGATGTTTTGAGGTGTATGGAGCAGCTTTCAGTTGTTATTTTGGTTTCAGTAATCTACATGGGTGGAATCCCTGCTTAGCTGACCAGGGATGCCAGCAAAGCACATCAAGCTCAGACATATCCACAAGCTAGTGAGACAGAAAGAAGAATTGACAAAGTAGATGTGGGAGGAATACGTCAGAGAGAGTGAAAAGAAAGCCAAAGAGAATCAAGTCTGTAGAAACAATGAATCTCAATCACAGGGCAATAATGAAACAGAGTAATTTGCATTTATGTACCACCTTTAACATAGGAAAGTGGGCTCAGGGGCTTCATTGAAGAATAATCATGCATAAATTGATATCAAATAAAAGAGAGGGATTGGATTAATGATGTGATGTAGTGGTAATGTCAGTGGATTAAAAAGTGAAGAGACATGGAACATGGAGAGGTTTAGGGAAGGAATTCTTTAAGGAGCTTAAAGCTACAGGGAAATTCTGAATGGAAATCTTCTTATGGGTGTTAAGATTTTGATGTTGGTTGTCAAAGACACTGTATGTTCTATTTAAAACATGACGTGTCTTTTCCCCCTCACCAATGCTTTAAATTCACGTGGTTGTCCCCACTTTGCCCATTGCTTCAATATGACAATCAGGACTGGTTTGATGAATGGTGGCACTTTATCATCCTGGGGTTCAGTTGGCTGCAAGTGAGGTGTCCTGAGCCATGGCTGCTAAGAATCAATTTAATTGCCCTGGAGCCACCTTTTTGAGGTTAAAGATTGTAGGACATGAACATTATAAAGCTGCTCCAAAAACAGCATGGACTTAACGGAGATGAACATCTGAGGTGGAATTCTTTCTACTGATATATTGTACTGGTGTGCATGTATGTTGTACATGGGATCATAGGGCTGCAAAGTGTTGGCTGTAGGTCAGAGGGACCACACTTGCCTCTGAGTTAGAAGATTCTGAAGAAACCCTGCATTGCCAGTGGTGCTAGTTCTTGGCTGAGACTCTAAACTGAGATCTCGGCTGTCAATTCGAGTCGATGTAAAAGATCCTGCAACATTAGGTCTGCAGGAGTCCTGGCCAACATATACCCCTCACCCAACAACTACAAACAAAGCAGGTGATCTAGACATTTATCTGTTATTGGAGCTTACTGTACATAAATTGATTTCTGTACTCCCTACTTTAAAACAGCAACTACTTTTCAGAAGTACAGTGAAAGGCACTGCATTAATACTGTTGTTTCTATGCATAATTCCCTGAAATTGCCTGTCAGTTGCATAGCCCTCCTAGGCTGCTATTAGTCGACATATAGCAAAAGATGAAATTGTTCGCTTGAGTGAATAAGGCACCATCTACTTCGTTTTACATCAATGAGCAGCTGTTTGGCTTTGGATGGTTGGAGTGAACCCAAAGCATAAAGCTGCCAGGGGTAACTTTAACAGCCACAGTCATTGCCCCATGTCAATGGAATTTAGCTGTGATTGGCCTGGAGCAAATAGTGCAAGCATTCCCTCGAGCAGTGCCTGATTCAGTGCTGTTCTTTTGCAGAATCTGACTGTGACTGATTCTGCTCCTGGTCAGAATTCAAAATCTGAGCCTGTTCTCAGACTCTGTTTAACTCTGACTTGTGGGTTTGACTCAGACTGATTTAACCAGCCATTCCCAATGCAGCTATCATGTAGAAAGTGACCTGTCCCTATTCACCATTAGGCAGGACCTCCCTGAGCCTAATTCAACCCCTTCTCTAAAACAATATCTATTACATTCTAGCCTCAATTTTGTTCAGACCTATTCTCTGTGTGGCCAGACCCTATTATCAGGTACTATCTCACTGTGATTCTACCTTAAAATATTACTTAATCTGATCTGAAAACAAGAAATGCTGGAAATCACAGTGGGCCAGGCAGCATCCATGGAGAGAGAGCAAGCTAACACTTTGAGTCTAGATGAAATGTTAGCTTGCTCTCCCTCCATGGATGCTGCCTGACCCGCTGTGATTTCCAGCACTTTTTGTTTTCAGTACAGATTCCAGCATCTGCAGTAATTTGCTCCGACTTAATCATAATCCAATGGGATTTTGAGTGTGGAGAACAGGTTATATGACCTGCCAGAGGATTATTTGTTTGTTTTTCTCAGGGAATTTATTAATAATCTCTACTTATTAAACAATCTCAAGTTGGTCTGATCAAGTTAGTCTACTGTAAGCATAAAAGTGCACTTTAGAGAAAACAGTTTTTTAAAACGTGTAAATTTACCTTCTTCAAACGAGTGTCTTTGGCTTAGAAATGTGCCCTCGATTTTTCCATTCTGCTCAAAGCACCAAATACGATTGACCCAGAGTTGAAACTTACTCAGATCCCACACTAACAGAGGCTCGATTATGCCAAAAGCCATAAACTTGGCAGACTGCGCCTAAACACCATTTCTTCACAGGGGCTGTTTTCCACAATCGGCCTTGTAAGTAATCAGTAAATATTATTTATCAGCCTCCCACCCCACATGCCAGTTTATCCCTGGAGATTGTTTCATGTCTGTTCTCTTCTGACCAGAGCGTAGGCGAGTTTTCAATGAATGCCAGATGCAGGCTGTTTGTGAGAGAGTGAATGTGTGTTCTAAGAAGCGCCCCGGTCCCTCATGTTAGGTCGCACACGCACGCACTCCACACACCCACAAAAGACTCTTTGACCTGTAGGGTAAAGAGATGAAGTCTTTTTGAAGACTCCTGTTGAGAAGGAAGGGGGTCTTTTTTTCTTTCTCTCTCTGAAGCGCCGTCAGCTTTCAAACTCTATCTTGGTGTAAGTTGGAGGAAATCTTGCTTCAGCTCAGTGCAGTTCTTGGGTACAGTTCAGGGGGACTGGAACCGCTGGCGCTGTGGACTGGGCTCTGAATGCGAGCAGCGAGGGGTTACTTTGAGCAGCAACTGCATTGGTTCACGGAGTAAGGGGTTGGGAACTGAAGCTATCCGGTTAAAGGATTTCCTAAGTGACCTTAAACAGCGTGCCCGGTCCATTACCGCTTTGACCCTCCGCAATATGTCCTTCTGCAGCTAACAAGGGGAGAGTGCGTCGGTTCAAAGTGAGTTGGGGAATGTTGAATCTGCGGTGTTGTGAACTGGAGGATGCTGGAGTCTCCGTGATGAGCGGGTGCGGAACGAGGCCATTCGGGCCATCGGATTTGCGCCCAAGGCTGGAATCGAACCTGGGTCCCCAGGCGCCGATTCGGACCTAAGTTTTATGGCCCGCGAGGCAGTAGTGCTAATGCTGTGAAATGTTTCCATGTGTGCCTGTCATGCCCCACATAAAACTAAAAAAAAACAGGAACAAACGTTATGATTGCAATTTTCATCCGCTTCAAACATCTTTTGTTTTTAAAATGTCATGTTTAAAATTGGTAAATCATTGACATTTGATTTTTGTTTTGCACTTTCTAGGAATGCCTCCCTGCAGCTGACTGTGGGACATGACAGAAACTGGGCATGGCCCAGAACCTACAGGTTAAAACTTCCTTCCTTTATGTTCGCCTACAGTCTCCGTTCGTTAAGGCGGCGGGTCACACCGACCGAAAACAGGCGGAGGGCAGCGGCGGCGAGACGGGCGCGATTCTCGCCGGGAATGGGCCGCTTTCTGCGCCTGGCATCGGGGAGGGGTGCCAAGGCAACCGCCAGCAACAGTTCTGCGCTGGCCTGTGTCACAATAAGGGGCCCCATGCAATGCCAGGGACTCGCCTCTGCAGTAGGGACAGTCCCCAGGGCAGGGGTGAGCCGGCCATTCGGCCGGGCTGCCCGCATGATCTCGGGATGTCCCGCACCGGGACGCCTCACTGTGCCCCCTACACTGCTCCCTGGAGCCCGTTCGGCCCTCCCGACACCAGGTCCGGAAAAGACGGGGTCCGGTGGAAGGTGGAGTTCAACAAACTCATTCTGGTGGAGACACCCCTCTTCTGTACACCTCTCTGCTCCGGGGATCGTAGGTGCATTTCCAGTCCACAAGCAGCTGGCACACTGCTATCCCCGTGTGTCCACGGGGCATCTACCTCTTCAACACCAAGTCCAAATCCACTGCAGAAGGTAAGGCTGTACAGATATACTGCATTCTCAATATTAAGGACATTTTCCTAATCAACCTGTTCAGAGATGCATGTTGAGAGCCGGTGGGATTTGAAATTGTGCCTCCTGGCTCAGAGATAGAGACGTTTCCACTGTACTACCAGAGCCTTTAAGACACTTCCCAATCAATCTGTTCAGAGGTGCATGTTACACACCTCCAAGGCAGGTGGGACTTGAACCTCGGCCTTCTGGTTCTGAGGTAGGAGCACTACCACTGTGCCTAAACATGAAAAACTTCTGCAAAGACAGGATTGCTGCCAATTTGTTTTAATGTGTAAGAAACACAGAGAATGCTGGAGAAATATGGCAGCGTCTGGCAGCATTGTGGAGACCAAAACCGAGTTAATGTGGCGAGTCAGATATGACTATAACTTCTTCGGGAGAAGATGCTAAGTGGTGGACTGGAAGTATTAACTCTCCTGTCTCCACAGATGCTAGCAGACCTAAGTTTCTCCTGCATTCTCTGTGTTAGTTTCAGATTTCCAGCATCCTCAGTAATTTGCCTTCATTCAAATGTTTTAAGGTGTGTTGGGTAGTGACAATTTATGGCTCACAGAAGCAAAAACAAATTTCTTGAAAATCTCCAGTTCTGAAGAAGAGTCACCGGACCTGAACATTAACTCTGATTTCTCTCCACAGATGCTGCCAGACCTGCTGAGCTTTTCCAGCAATTTCTGTTTTTGTTTCTGGAAAAACTCAGCAGGTCCAGCTGCATCTGTGGGGAGAAATCAGAGTTAACAGTTCAGGTCCAGTGACCCTTCTTCAGAACAGACAATATATGGTGTTTGGTTTAATGTGCATTTGCCACCCAATTCTGTTGACTTTCTATTTGCCTGCACGGTTTAACATCAAATTATTTATATGTAGCATCTTGCAGTGAGATCTTTTCCAAATACTGCTAGAAAATTGCTCTTTTAATTAGATAGCTGCTGGGTTTCATGCAATGAAGGTTAAGCAAGATGTAGAAAAACAGTCTGGCAATATTTATTTAATAGAGAACAACTGACAAGCTTTTAATAAGAAAACTGAATTCCCAATTTCAAGTTTAGCCAGCAAAATTAACACTCATTGTGTCAGCTAATCAGATCTTTCCTTCAGGGAAACACACTACATAGGGAAGGGGAAAGATCAGTCTAAACTGATATTCAGAACAGCATAAAAGAAAACAATAGAATTACGATTAATACCAGCTATAAATATACAAAGTCTACATGTCGTGGTGTTCCATGTTCAGAGAATGCTTCTGATCAACCAATATCTACTTGACAGCGGTCTGTGCTAACCTGAGAATGTTCCGAGGGTCAAGAGCTTTTCAGAGAGGTTCTTTCTTTGCTATTTTAGGGTGGGTTTAATTTTAAACTCACCCGATAAACTGCAGTGCAATCTCACCCTGACACACACTGGGGTACACTCTCACTTGAAGCCATTGGAATACATGAACAACCTGACACACTGAGGCACCCTGTTACACTGGAGCAGAGTTACACATTGATTCACTCTGGGATGCAATTTCACCTGCATTCACATTAGGACTTTCCAGCCTTGCCTTACTCTTGGCTACAGTCACATCTTAACACACCGGGTAACGTCTCACTCAGATACACTCTGGGTGCAGTCTGACTCTGACTTAAATAAGGGTAGTCACATCGTAAATGGAATATTTTTCTGTCATGCAAGGATAGTTATTGAAAATTTATCTGTAGAGAAATTGTAATGGGTAGAATCCAAAGAAAGAGCAAATTCTGTCCTCCTGTAATATGAATTATTTGAACCAGAACCTCTCAATGATGGCCTGATGCAGAAACTTTGGCTGATCTTTTCCCCTCATTAACTCTGCAGTGTTAAGATTGCTCATACTCCCCTGTTACTGCTGTGGCCATGAAACTGACAACTCACTGCAGATGCATGTTAAAACCTTGGACTTTCTTTCTCAGTATACATCAATTGCAACTTTTCAGGTGAATGAATAATCTTTCTTATTATAATTGTTTACATTAAATGTGTGAGAGTACAAACTGAGCTTTTGGAATGAACTCTAATTTTATGGTGTTAATTAATCTATGAATGCTTGCAATATAATCAAGAACAAAAATCTGGTACCATAAAGTACAAATTACAATGAGCTTCTCTCTGATCTGATGTCGCTCGATCTCAAGTCAATGAGCTCAAACTATTAGAAAAGATTAGCAAAATTTAGCAACAACATTTTAAATTTACTCTAATTTGCAGCACCCTCAAGCCATTTCATCACTGTCATGTGAACTATAAATGTCAGCCTTTTTTATGGTAGCTTGACTTTTCTGGATTGTTAACATATTGCAAAAATCCTTGCTAAGACCAGAAATTATATGATAAGCAAATATGCAGACCAACCAGACATCTCAATGCCACCAAATCTACCTATTGCCCTAGTTAGATGATGATTGAGAAATCTTTCAACCTTCACTCCTTCAGATAAGTATTTCCGATGAAAAATTCTTCTCCACCATCTGTCCCAACCATTTAATCTCCTCCCTGCATCCAGATTTAGGAAACATTTTCTCTCATGTTTGAGTCAGTAAAGGTTCAGTCATTTTGGACTGGGAGAAGTGAATTCATTCAGAAAACTGCAAACCTTTGGAAATTCATACCACAGTGGGTTGTAGGTGCTCATGTTCAATATATTTAAGGCAGAGAACAAATATATTTTTGATTCTGTCATGAACAAAAGTTTTCCTTTTAATTATTTGGAGTCTGTAAGTTTGTGTGTAAAGGTATGATTTCTTATCCTTGAAGTGATTGTCTCAATTTTAATGACTTCAGCTGCAAGCTCTTTGTGAGTATTAAAAAATGTTATTTATTAACACTTGCTTTTAATTTTAAAATGCTAAATCACATTCCACACACACACACACACACACACACACACACACACACACACACACACACACACACACAGTTTAAATGCAGATGATGGTAAAAAAAGAACAGATTATCTCAGTATCTTTCATGGCAGGCCTGAAGTTCCTTCAGTGAGTCGATGCTTTGGTTAAAGTGAAGGTCTTGCAAAGCAGGGGATTCTTACGAAGTTGTAAGGCACTTTATGACTGCATGTTCAAGTGTTTGGTTCTCAGGTGAACTCAAGATGGAACGTATTTGGAGGCAGTCCCTCTCCCATTTTTAAGCCATTGTTGCTACTCTGAAGAAGGGTCAATTGACCTGAAATGTTAACTCTGCTCTCTCTCCACAGATGCTGCCAGACCTGCTGAGTTTTTCCAGTAATTTCTGATTTTGTTCAAGGCACTGTTGTCCGTTACCCTGGCTATTGAGATGAATTGCAACTGATTTGATGATTTTCTTATAGAACTCTGTCTCTTAAGAACAAATTCTTCTTGTTACTTTTGACTGCAGAAAGGAAATGGCATCCTCATCATGAGACTTGTACAAGTTCAAGGTACTTTTTCCAAAAAAAGAAGTGGGAGTGAGGGAAAGCATGGGCCTATGATTATACAGTCTGTGCTTTCATTTGATACCCTGAATACACCCAGCCTGGGTTAGATGAGGAACCTATCACAATATAATGAATGGTCAATGTGATCCATTCACATTTGATTAACAATCGTTGAATATCAGTGTTTCTTTTGTCTATGGTGAGGGTTCCCAGAGCAAAAGATATAGGGAGTGCCAATGGAGGCAAATGGGGGATTGAGACACAACATTGGTGTAGATTGTTGTTGTGAAAAGGAGAAAATGAATCTGCTGTACTGACAGCCGAGTCAACTAGATATGGAGTGGAGTGGTATAGTAATCAAAATGGAAGTCAGGCGTCATTCTTTGAAGTCATTGAACTCAGTGCTGAGTCCTGATGACTGTAAAGTGCCTAAGTGGAAAATGAGGTGCTGTTCCTCCAGCTTGTGTTGAGCTTCATTTGAAAACTACAGCAGGTCCAGGACAGAAGTGGTTTATTGAAATGGCAAACAACTGGAAGGTTGGGATTCTTTGCAATTGTCGATGAAGTGATCAAGTGCAAGTAAGAGGCCAGAGGGTGGGGTCCAGATGAAGGAGGTATATTGGGTATGGGTGAGGGGCTTATGGACCAGGGAGAGGACTCCTGTCCAAAGAAATGGAAACAGAAGCGAAGATGTTAGACAAGGATTTCAATGTCATATGCCCAAAATTCATTGAGGTGGGCTGTGTAAAGGGCTCACAGATGGTTTAGGATCGGAGAGGGGAAGGTCAGAGGTTATAATGAATACATGACAAGAGATGGGTTGAAACAAGGGATGGCGAGTCGTAGGGAAGGGAAGGAAAAGAAAGGGAAGGAAGAATCCAGAGGGACATCAGTACCTGGTGAGTAATTGACAGCTTTGAGAGAGCGTGATATGGTGCTGATGACGGAAGAGGTTGAGAGTGTGCATGTGACAGCATTGAGTGTGGATCTCAGTCTGCAGCAGGAACAGCTGGCTGAGGAATGTAGTATACCTCAGAGATCCCTGTAATCCCGAATGTATTTGAAACATGAGGGATAGAAGTTCAGTTGGAATTCATGTAGGGTAAGCCAGGGGTTGTCTCTGTGAAAACAAGTTTTGGCCAACACTTTAACAAACACCAAGTGGCAAATCGAAATCAATAAAGGTGAGCAAGCTAAAGGATTCAAATAGAAATCCCATCAATGAGAGGAGCAGAATTTCTTCAAGGTGACCATAGCTGGAAGAGAAGTGTCAGCAAAATATTGTGGATGCAGGAAATCTTAAATAAAAAGAGAAAATGCTGCAGAAACTCAACAGATCTGACCACATCTGCATACCTGCATGGGTCCCAGTCATGACTCCCTTTGTGAGGAATGAGAAACAGTCCTTGTTCCAGTCCTACTCAGGGACCCTCTCCCACCACTTTTTCTCTGATATATTGACAATGTCATCGATGTTGTTTCCTGCTCTCATCAAGAATTGGAAAAATTAGTCAGTTTTTGTTCCAATTTC